GCTACTCGGGCGGCTGAGGTGGGAGAACTGCCTGAACCCAGGAGGCAGAGGTTGTGGTGAGCCGAGATCGCGGCATTGCACTCCAGCCTGGGTAAGGAGCGAAACTCCGTCTCAAAAAAAAGAAAAAAACCTTCAGGTTTTAACCCATTCAGGGTTTTGTCTACATAAACATGGGCAAAAAATATCATTTTCATGTGTGCTTTGCAACCTGTGACATCAACTCATGGGATGAGATGAAGCAGACTGAAATTGCGAGGTCAGTTTGGGTGTTATTTAAAGACAGTCTTTGATAATACCTGGCATTTTTCAGAGCACTGAGGTTTTGTAGAGGCAAAGTTAAATTTGAGTAATTACAACCAACTTAGTTCAGTTCATATCTTTTGGCTGAGTAAGCCTAGAAAAGTTGTGTTCTTTATAACAGATTATTTTGTTTATTTACATAGTGGCTTTACAAGTATACTGAAAATTGCTTATGTAAAAAAAGATAAGTCTCCCAATTAAATATTGGTGTCTGATAATACGTAATCCAAAAATAAACTTGTAATACCTAACATAATTAGCTGTCATCCTGAGACGCTTCAGTGTGCATGTTTATTTCAGTGCTAATCATTTCCTGTCTGGACTCAGTGGTTTTCTGATTAAAACATTTGGGCTATGTGGAACTTTAGAACATATGAAAATTATACACTTCATAATTTTTAACAACCAAAGAGCGTTCTTTCTCAAGCAAGAATTTGTATAGCTCCATCTTAGCCTCCATGGTTTAATTAACCATGCATTTTTCAAAGTCTGGGTATTGGTGAAGGTAGACTCAAATTTTCACTGACTTCATAAAGTCACTTTTGTGAGCCCATGATATTCCTGATCAACAGACACTTCTTTTCCAAGTAGGCATTTGAGATTCTACCACCATCTTGCACCAATTCCTAAGCTTCCAGAGAGCAGAATAGGAAAGAGTGGGTGAAAGCACATCCCAGAAGCAACTCATTTTGCATCCTTCATGTTTCATTTTGACAATTCATCAAACAACACCACAACAAGGAAGCAGGGCGTAGGCCATGTAGCCCCTGAGTGGGCAACTGTTCCTAGCAGCAACTCTTTCTGTTAAAAGAGTAGCATAAAAGTAGCTGTCTCCTCCCACAGGAATCCTACTGCTTCCCTTTTTCCAATGTCCCAGAGGGTCAATGGAGCATTCATCTTCATTCATATGAAGATATAAGTAATGTTGCTGAGGATCCTTGTCCACATGATTTCACAATGCAGGGGCCAGAGCAGAGAACCACATCAGAAACTTGGTGGGATGAACTGAAATTACGATGGATTCCAATTTCAGCCCACTTCTGAGTAATGAAGGAAGAAATAATATTGTTCTGGACTCAGAGACACCAAGATGTCATTTTGTCTCTATTAATTCTCCAGAATACAGCAACACCTAGTGAATTAATAGAAACAGAAAATCATAAAATTATTTGTGTTACCATGTGTTCACATTCAAATATTCTATAAACTACAGCATTCTTTGTCCAAAATTATTCTGCTGCTTCTATAAAAGTCCAGTAAGTATTATAATTTCCAAACGTACTTTTCTTTTTTTTTGAGATGGAATCTCACTCTTGTTGCTAAGGCTGGAGTGCAGTGGTCTGATCTCAGCTCACTGCAACCTCTTCCTCCTGGGTTCAAGTGATTCTCCTGCCTCAGCCTCCTAAGTAGCTAGGATTATAGGCACGTACCACCATGCCTGGTTATTTTATTTTTATTTTTAATAGACATGGGATTTTACCACTTAGGCCATGCTGGTCTTAACTCCTGACTTCAGGCGAGCCACCAGCCTTGGCCTCCCAAAGTGCTGGGATTACAGGTGTGAACCAACGTCACCCAATTCCCAAATGTACTTCTTTTAGTTCTACCTTGCCACTGGCATTTCCAGGTAACTGCTGTTAGACTCCCTCTGATCTTTATTTCTTGCCAATGCATGCCCTTCCTCAGCTATTGCATTACTGAGTCTTGGCTTACTCCAATGATTATACAAAAATCATGGTTGCCAACTACTTTCTCATTTCAGTATTTGGTGTGCTACTTTTTCATCCTCAATGGAAAACAGATTAATGAGAAAAGGTAAATTTCAGAAAACAATATAAAGAGAAAGCAGAAGATTGCAATCAGGTGGCCAGTCTGTTGCCATACACCAATACCCACATTCACACCAAAATACTAAAACTTTTCCATTTGACAGAGAGTAATGGAATTCTCTGAGCCATACCACTGTCTCTGAAGAAATATTATCTGGCTTGAAAATACATCTCTATCTTTAGTCAAGATGCAGTGACCCATTGTCGAGCACGAGGCCTTTGAAGAACCATTCTCGGAAACAAAACAAATGTTCTTTCTGCGTATTGGTACACTCCCAAAGCTGCTACTGTCTACTTCAGCAGATTATTATTATTATTATCATTTTGAGTCCTTCCCAAATAACAATTGTTATTCAAATAGCAACAATTATTACCCAAATAACTAATATTTATAGGACTTTTTTTTTTGAGACAGAATTTCACTCTGTCTCTCAGGCTGGAGTGCAGTGGCATGATCTTGACTCACTGCAACTTCTGCCTCCCAAGTTCAAGCGATTCTCCTGCCTCAGCCTCTCAAGTAGTTGGGAATACAGGTGCGTGCCACCACACCCAGATAATTTTTTTGTATTTATAGTAGAGATGAGGTTTTACCATGTTAGACAGGATGGTCTTGATCTCCTGACCCTGTGATCCGCCCACCTTGGCCTCCCAAAGTGCTGGGATTACAGGCATGAGCCACTATGCACAGCCAGAACATAAATTTTATATCAAGCAAATCTCCTAAATTATTCACAAATATAAAGGTATCATTAACATCTGCATTTAAATATGAGCAAGTGGTGTTTCTGACTGTACATTTAGATAAAAATGATGACTCTTGTTTCCTGTGTGTAAAGCAACTCATGCTTATTTCAGAAATCCTTAAGTGAGGAACAGAAGAGTTGAAGCAATCCCATTGGCTAACAGGTCTTGCAAGAGAAGATTTTAAACCTATGTATGAAAGAAAGAAGTAATAACTGATTTACCTAAATACATTCAAAGAGGTCTTGTGGAAGTCAGGGAATAAAAACTACCTGTCCTAGGAGAACAGAAAGTACCTCATCTGTTTACCAGTTACAGACAGAACTCCGGAAATGAATGGAAAAGAGGTTCATGTCTTCTAAGGCTTGGGGCAGGGTTTTCCTGTATTAACGTCTCTCATAGGAAGAATTCCTAAAGGTACACTCTGTCCTCCAAGATTTCTGTCCCCTGGTTAGCCAATCAACCATTAATTCCAGTTTTGGAAAATGGTTTCTGTACTTCAGGTTTCAAATTGACTTATTGCTTTTTTGTTTGTTTGATTTCCCTTACCTCTCTCTATGTAAAAAATTACACATACATAAACATATAACACACACAGAGTTATGTTTGCTTAGATCGTGACAGTTGTTCTCTTTACCTAATTCTAAAGTGAATTTTCATAGTTTCAAGTGTTATTTTCCATTATCATTCATTCCTGAATGAGGACAATGTACTTCTTGTTTATTTTACCCCAACAGAAAATGTCTGTGGCTGTCTTGTATCTCCACTGTCTGATATTTTCAGTGGTGGCTACGGTCTCCATCCAGCTCTGGCTAGGATAAAGGAGGTATCTGTCCACCCCAGAACCCTTCCTGAGACTGACGGGCAGCCAGTGCACAGCTGGCCATATGGAGATAGAACCTAGAAACCAGTTTTTTCTGAGAAGACAGAGTCCTGGAAATCCCATGTTCTGTCTGAAGTTGCTTACTTATTTATATTTTTCAATAGGAAACTCAAAACACTTCCAGAAACTGAAGATAGTTCCAGGACCAGTGTTTTTGTCACCTTTACATAAACCAATGTAAGAAAAAAATTGCTGATATATAACGTGTCAGTTATTCCTGCAGAAAGCAAAATTAACTCCATGTATTTTAGAGGAAGTGAGTTCAGTTCACAGAATTAGGTGCATATAAGACATCTGGAGGGAACAGAAGAGTGGGAGGCAGGCAGCCACTCCAGGAGCTGTTGTGCTCAGGATCACACCAAATGGCAGGGAGGCATGGATGGAGCATGCTACTTCCACTGCCCTGGCACAGCCACACGTCCCTGTGCTGAAGCTCACCTTACAAGAGTCACCTTACTCAGAATGACTCCCGGTTGCTACTAGCCAGTCGCACCTCTGTGGTCATGCTTGCTGTCAGAAAGAACAGCTCAGAGAAAACCTCCGGTCCTGCACTCTGTATGTCATGCCAGTGCTTGTAGCTAAAAAATAGGGTTTTCATCCTGAACTTAACCTGCAAAGAGATATAGAAAATGCAGGTTTTAGCTTTCCATCTTGCATTGTACAAGAATACTACCCTAAAGAAGGCCAAAATTCATGCCGGTAATCCCACCACTCTGGGAAGCCAAGGTGTGCAGATCACAAGGTCAGGAGATCAAGACCATCCTGGCCAACATGGTGAAACCCCGTCTCTACTAAAAATAGAAAAAATTAGCTGGGCATGGTGGTGCATGCCTGCAATCCCAGTTACTCGGGAGGCTGAGACAGGAGAATCAGTTGAAACTTGGAGGTGGAAATTGCAGTGGGCCAAGATCGTGCGGCTGCACTCCAGCCTGGGTGACAGAGCAAGACTCCATCTAAAAAGAAAAAAGCCAAAAACTGAGCTGAATGAGCCACTCCACGTTGTTCTGAACCCCACCCTTTACTGTTTCAAAGACTCTGACTTTCAATATCTGCATCTTCTGTACTCTGAATTTCAGCTCTCAGTTTCCTAACACAGTGATCCGAGCACAGCCTCCTCCCTGCCTTCCATACAAACAATTCTTTGTTCGTAGGTTTCTTTGTTCGGCTTGTACCCTTAGAATGAAAAGAAAATTGTATCAAAAAAAAGGCATAACGTGAACAGAGTTTTCTACTGTGGTATGCTGCTGTATCTTTGATTCAATTGCAGAGAATACACAACGTCCAATCTTTCTTTACTCATTGGGTTCATCTGGGCCTGCTCTTTCCTGTAGGCTAACTGGGACAGCACACACATCTTTTCCTGTAAGTTTCCTATCTGGCTTCAAATATCTCATTATTAAGGTAAATTGTAAGTTTTGGCCATAGCTTGGCTATCAAGCTTAATTTCGTGAGTTGTAAGTTTTGTTTGTTTCATTTGTCTTAAAATACATTTAGTAGGTGCTTGAGAAGCTCTCTCACGAGGTGGTTTCTAGAAATAATTTAACTCACAAGTCCTATAGGTGATATTTATGGTAATTCATTAAATATGTATGTAGACAATCCTCATAAGATTTAAATATTCCAGTAATAAGTTTAATTTAATGTTCTGGAAGCCTTAAGCTATCAGAAACAAATGATATAATCAGTAATATATATTCCTAACCAACGTTCTCATAGTTCTGTGGAAAATATCTGTGTTTAATTATCATTGAATCACAATTAGACTTATGGCAGACCCTTCTGGTAGAAAGAGGAAAATCTAAATATACATTGTGTACCCTCTAATTAACCCAGAGTGGCCAGAAAATGAAGTGGAAAAGTGACCCAATACATCTTCACTGTTCCACTATTTTTTTCTGACACAACCTTGTGCATTATTCAGGAGCAAAGATAGGGCATTTTTGGAAAATTCTGCATAGAAAGAACAGAATGGGTTTTAGTTTATATTAGCCCAGGTTTCTCTAACCCTAGTCTTATCGATTGAATAGAATTTCTGGATTATAGAGTTATCAGTCTTTCTTTTCAGGATTTTCATGGAGTTTCAGTGATTCAACGAGTTTGGATCCACTGTGTTTTTTGAATGGAGTCTTGCTCTGTCACCCAGGCTGGAGTGCAATGGAACCATCTCGGCTCACTGCAGGCTCTGCCTCGCAGGTTCCAGCGGTTCTCCTGGCTCACTCAGCCTCCTGGTAGCTGGGATTACAGGCTCATGCCACCACGTCTGGCTAATTTTTGTGTTTTCAGTAAAGACAGGGATTTACCATATTGGCCAGGCTGGTCTCGAACTCCTGACCTCAAGTGATTCTCCCGCCTTGGCCTTCCAAAGTGCTGAGATTACAGGCATGAGCCATCGCACCCCTTCTAAGGTCCACTGTATTTTTGAAAGACTCAGATTTTCATAGATTTTCTGTTGGGAGCTACTTCAAACTGGATATTAGGTTCTTTGCTATGATCTCATTACTACTTAAAAGCACATTTACTTTGTGGTAAAAAGCACACCAGGGTCTCATTGGACCTTCTATTCCCCCAAATGGAAATCAACCATTTCTTCAAGGAGCTTAGGTTAAACTTATTGGGAAAAGGCATTATAGGCTCCAATTTGGGTAACATTTATTGCTGGTGTGCTCGTTGCTGCTGACACGACATTACCTTCAGGCCAATTCAAAAGGAAGAGCTAGAAGTACCTCTAATGTGTATCTATCTCAACGTATCTACCTCTATATTTATTTACAAACCTTGAGTTCATAGTGATATTTACAATTCAGTTCAGTGTTAAGACATAACAGTGTCTCTGTTTCTATAATGTTGTAATTTTAACAGTTTTTCTTACAGCGTTGACTGCTAACACCATTTACTTAATACCTATAATAGCTGATACTTCTACAAAAAGCCTAATAAATAACATTTAACATTTATTCTTTTATTTATGTTTTAATGCATCACAGTAAGAATATATGGTGAAAATACTTTGTTGGAAAGTTTGATGAATTAATCCTTTCTTAGAGTAGTTTTGCAAACACTTTCATAAGTAGCCACGTTGATTTATGCAGCAGATCTTGTTATGGTTCCTAGGAATTGTCCTCCTCCACTCCCCATTCCTGTGAGATAACCACATACCTCCTCCAGTAGTTATGTGACTTGCAGAGTTTCTCCTTATGGCAACATAGGAATCTACACCTCTGTGGTTAGGCATGGCCCTGTGATTTGCTCTGCCAGTGGAAGTGACATGAGCCACTGTTGGAGACAGATGGGGCTCTGCCGTTTTACTCTTTCCTCTATCACAAGAACATCACACCTTTCGTACTGGCTGTCCCTTCAGCCTCAGACCTGACTGTACACAAGATATACCTGACCTGTAGTCCAGTGAAAAAGGAATACATGTGTTATTTTAAGCCCTTGGGATTACATGCATATAGAAATACATATGTAGTGAAGTCTTACATCCAACTGTGTCCTTACCACCCAAACTCTCCTATTTCCTTTCCAATATGTCATTATTTATATTAGTTTTAAGCTTAACCTCATGGTGTTTGTTTTGGAAATTAGCCAAAGATGCAGTATATTAACTCAAATGGAGTGGTACTTCCCCAGATAAACTGATGGTGAACTCAATATACTTAGGCTCTTCTAACTTGCATTGCTCTAACTTGCTTACCAGGAATCTTTATGAGCTACACTTTCACCTTATGAGTTTAACTAACTGCCAGGATGAAATGTGTCCTGTGACATCCTTCTACAAGTTGTGCAAACAAATTGGGAGTTACAGGAGGGTAAACGGGGTTCTTCAAATATGATCCTTGAGAAGATCCAGTCTAGTGATGATCCCCCAGCACCTATGAGAATGGACACCCTTGAGCCTTCACTGAGATGAGTGCTTCTCCTTAAGTGTTTCATCTAAGCACATCACCAGTTAACATCATGTCTTCTGAGGGAAGTCTTAGGCCTTCTTTGAAATAGGACCATCACTAAACTGGATTATTCATGGCAGAGCAAGCCTAGTTAACTAGCTCTTAATCTGATTGGAAGGAACAAAAATGCAAATTTTCCTTCTAAGTGAAACAACATGAAAAGAAACCATTGTCTCCCCTTAATTTCAACTCCACTTTCACACTTGAGACATGAGGAGGGAGAAGGCATTTGATTTTCATTAAATACAAGGTTAAATTTGGATAGTGAGTATATCATGCTTAGAAGAAATTGTGGTAATCTTTTTTCATAAGGTGATGAGGATAGAAAGAATTATTTTCTTTCCATCCTAGATTGAGACAGTTTCTTTACAATTGAAAAGAGAACTGCAAAGATTCTGGAAGACGATGGCTTTCACAATACACTTACTTTGTTTTCTTTTTTTTTTTTTTAATCTTTCCTATACTGATTAGTAGTAAATATCCTAAAATATAAGAGCCTTTTATCCTGAGAACTCCAAGGAGATAAAATGAAAATGAAGAGGATGAGGTGGAAGAGTGCTGGAAAGTACTGAAACAGGAAAGTTCTAAGCAAGACAACAGATTCATTCACAGAGGTTCACAGGGGGTTTTCGGTCAGCAGCGGTGCCATAACAAAAGAATACAATTTGGGTGGTTTAAATTCATTTCCTCATAGTTCAGGAGGCTGGACCTCTGGGATCCAGATGCCAGCATGGTCGGGGTCCATGGAGGGCCCTCTTCCGGGCTCACAGAGGCTGAGTCCTCTCTGTCCCACATGGCCTTTCCTTGGTGTGTGGGAGAATGAACAACCATCTTTTCCTTTTCTTACAAGGACATCAGTTCTATCAGATTACAGCCTCACCCTTATGACTTTATTTAAGCCACTTACCCCTCAAAAGCCCAATTCTCTAAATACAGCCACATCGGGAGTCAGCGTTTGAACACAGGAATTTTGTTAGAGGTGGGCTTTGGGGAAGGGAGTGTCACAATTCAGCCTATATCATGGGATTTAGCATATTAGACAGAAAAGCCCACACTGGCAGGGGGAAGGAGTAACACATAGATATTTCATTTTTCTATCACTTTTTAACCTTCTTGTCTAATGATGAGAATCTGTTATTATTATTTTAGAAACACACACGTACATATCTTGCAAAGATATAAGAAATTTAAAAATACATATATATCATGACACTAGAAATGCCTGGGAAAATAAAGAAAGACATTGCAATTCTATAATTTTCAAATCACAGTGAGACTAGAGTCAAAAGAAGCAGACATTATGTGATATTTTATCTTAACAAGAAAAAATGATGAGAGGAGATAACATTTAGAAATAGAAAACATATTTAAGATTAGAAGAAATAATTCCTATTTTTTGAAATTAATAGGAAAATTTATAATCAATGAGTTCTTAAAATTGTGTGAAGATATTCAGATATTCAAAGATTCAAGGGGAGAGCATTAGCATTTATACCCTGAGAAAGTCTCACAGGTCCCCTATAATCTGATGGTGACAGTTAGTGGTTTGATATCATTCTATCAATCTGAGATCATTTGCTTTTAGACTTAAGAGCGTATTTACTATCAGTGAAGATCCAAACATACTCTAAAAAATGTTGACAGCAGATAAAATATTTTGAATGGTTTCAAGGTCAAATGTCTCTGGGAATTATTATATTGCATCGAGAATACATTTAACTATGTGTACAATTTAAATATATTGAAATTGACTCCATAGGTAGAACATTTCTGTATCTATAATGTGGTTTTATTGTAAATTTTCAAGAAAGAAAATAGCACGCAGGCTTATCCATATTTAACCACTAGGAATCAGATTTTCAGGTGGGTCTCTTTAGTTTAGTGGTCCTCAAATGGCTCCAGAAACCCTGAACTATAATCACGATTTTTTTTTTTCTGAAGAACAGAGTGTTTACGTATTTGGTAATACAGATAATCTCATTTGATCATAATTAAAAACAACATTCTGCTTCCAAATAGCTTAAATTGTCTTTGGAAAAACAGCTCATATATAATAGACAAAGATCTAAATTTGTCACTTCCTGACACCCTTGCATGCATAGTATGCCATTTCACTTGGAAGAAGGAATGACCATTTTTGGAGGGAATATATGGGAGATATGTGGAATAAATGGGAATTTAGTTGGGGCTTGAGGATGGGGGGAAGATACATAGGAGAGGACGCTGGCACTGATAAGGGAAGAACAGGATTGGTGAAGCATGCAGATGACATTAAATAAGAATCAATGTCCTTGAGTCTGATTTTATTTTTTCCTCTGACCACTCTTAGCAGAGAAGCAGTGCTGAAACATGACCCAGAGCATGGGATTCACTTTTCACTTCTCCAATTAAAACCTTTGTGACCATCTCAACTCC